TCTGTTATTAGAAACTTATTAACTACAAAATTTTTATTTTCATTTATCTATCAATTTTTTGTAGTTGTTTAAAAAACCATATCGAATTGTTTCAAAATTATCACGGCAAGCACGTTTTGTAAATGTAAAGCTAAAGTTTTTCTTTTTATTTCCTGATGTTACTTCAAAATGTTTCTATTGAAAACTGTAAATTTTATTCGAAGTTGTGAAATAAAAATCAGTTGCTCTAAAAGGATTTACAACTATTTTCTTCATGCTCAAAATTTAGTGTTGCGGTACTTTTATTACTAATTATTATTTTTTTACACTGTACAGCCTCACCACATTCATTTGTGCCAAGATTATAATAACGGTATGAATAAGTTTTACGACCACTCGATACAAATTCTACAGCATAAACATTTCTTCCATAAAATGCAAATATGTTTGTTAAACCTCGCATAAAATTTCCTAAAACAATAAGCAAAAGTTTTTAAGTGTAATTTTTTTTCCTACTAGGTGAAAAAATCTCGAAAGACGAAGAAGGACGGCTCTATCTGCTTTTTTCCTCCAACAGTGGGGGAGCGTGACTCCTACCCTAAAAACTCACCTAAACTCTGAACGGGTAAAACTGGTCCTTATCAATTGCCAAACCAGACTTACGACCTATGAGCCAATAATTTTCTCTATATTTATTTTCTGATTCTAGGTGTTTTTTCTTTATATGCTCTGTCGACCTAACATCTAAAGTCATTCCTAAGTATTTTGCTGAGTATTTCATCATTCCCAGGATTGCTACGTTCAGTCCATTTAAGTTGATTTGTGGTGGATTTGCTATTTTTGAGTCCACTGACTTATTTTGTTACTTGCCTCCTGTAATTTTTTTGTCGAGTCGTCCATGTTCGCTCCTACTGCCAATGTTGCAGTATCGTGAGCAAAAGTGGCTATCGTAGCACTTTCTATTTGTGGCAAATCACTCGTGTAAAGCAGGTACAACGCTGGGCCCAATATACTGCCTTGAGGCACACCTGCCCTTATTTCTCTTAGCGTGGAGTATTCAGCGTCTTGTTTAATTCTAAATAATCTATCAGCTTAGTAAAATTTCAAAATTTCCACAAATGGCGATGGTAACATTTGTCCTAACTTAAGTAAAAGGCCTTTGTGCCATACCTTGCCGAATGCCTGTGCTACCTGTGCTAAGTCTAGAATTATAGAAGAGCAGATTTCCTTATTTTCAAAGCTTTTTTCTACAATATTCTTTGTATTATGAACCGGTTTCTTTTTGCTCTTCGCCGCTTTCCATAACGAATAATTTGTTTCCTTCGTAGCTGACAAATATGTTTGTTAAACCTCGCATAAAATTTCCTAAAACAATAAGCAAAAGTTTTTAAGTGTAATTTTTTTTTTCCTACTAGGTGAAAAAATCTCGAAAGACGAAGAAGGACGGCTCTATCTGCTTTTTTCCTCCAACAGTGGGGGAGCGTGACTCCTACCCTAAAAACTCACCTAAACTCTGAACGGGTAAAACTGGTCCTTATCAATTGCCAAACCAGACTTACGACCTATGAGCCAATAATTTTCTCTATATTTATTTTCTGATTCTAGGTGTTTTTTCTTTATATGCTCTGTCGACCTAACATCTAAAGTCATTCCTAAGTATTTTGCTGAGTATTTCATCATTCCCAGGATTGCTACGTTCAGTCCATTTAAGTTGATTTGTGGTGGATTTGCTATTTTTGAGTCCACTGACTTATTTTGTTACTTGCCTCCTGTAATTTTTTTGTCGAGTCGTCCATGTTCGCTCCTACTGCCAATGTTGCAGTATCGTGAGCAAAAGTGGCTATCGTAGCACTTTCTATTTGTGGCAAATCACTCGTGTAAAGCAGGTACAACGCTGGGCCCAATATACTGCCTTGAGGCACACCTGCCCTTATTTCTCTTAGCGTGGAGTATTCAGCGTCTTGTTTAATTCTAAATAATCTATCAGCTTAGTAAAATTTCAAAATTTCCACAAATGGCGATGGTAACATTTGTCCTAACTTAAGTAAAAGGCCTTTGTGCCATACCTTGGCGAATGCCTGTGCTACCTGTGCTACGTCTAGAATTATAGAAGAGCAAATTTCCTTATTTTCAAAGCTTTTTTCTACAATATTCGTTATGCTATGGACCTGGTCTATTGTAGAATGGTTTCTTCTAAAACAAAATTGATAGTTTGGTATCAGGCCCCTGCTTTCTATTACTGGCTTCAATCTCCTTAATAGCAGCTTTTCAAAAAGCCTAGACATAATTGGTAGCAGTGAAATGACCTGGAAGGCTTTGTTTCCCTCAAGAATTTCCTGGGTTTGGGCACCATAATTACCTCCGCAACTTTCCAAACACAAGGAACATACCCAAAATCCATAGCTGCATTCATGATTTTCGTGAGATGATCCAATGCCGCGTCTGGTAGCTCTCTCAGTACTTCCGCAGTAATAAGATCAAAACCTTATAAGACCTACCAAAATAAGATTTTTTCAACTTCAGGGATCTTATCTCTTCCGCAGTTTCTAATTGAGTAAGTGGAGCTATGCTGTCTGCTTCATTTGCGATAGATTATACCAAACTTACATCTGATGTTATTCCGTTTGGCTTGAATATGCTTTCCAAGTGATCAGCAAACAATTCGGCCTTCTCTATATTGCTCCTCGCCCATCTGCTTTCATCAGTGGCAATGCTTAACCGGTTTCTTTTTGCTCTTCGCCGCTTTCCATAACGAATAATTTGTTTCCTTCGTAGCTGACAAGTTCTTTATATAATTTTCATATGTTGCCGATTTAAATTCTTGGATTTTTCTTTTAAGCACGAGAAAGTCTGTTTAAAACAGTTTTATCATCAGGGTGAAACTAACGTTGCCATCTACGTCTGGCCCTTCTCTTTTCACCTAATTAATCAGTTATTTCTCCAGGATAGGTATTTGCTGTCGGTTTGTGCTTTGACATTTTTGTATGATTTTAATAAATCCTTCTAACTCCAGATCTAATTGTTCTCTTGATTGTATATTAATATTTATGTTAATATTGTTTATTATTTCGTATTTACAGCTCGCCCAATCTGTAGTGCTTTTGTCAAACTGGGCCTAAGTACTGTTTTAGTTATTTTTTCACTTAGTTTTAATATGACAGCAGAGTGATCCGAATTAAAATAATAATTATCTTCAAGGATTAGAAAATTTTCTGATATTAATATTTCATTTTGGTTATAAAAAAATCAATAACAACAAGAATCTTGTTAGTGTCAGTAGGCCAATAAGTAGGAGTGCCATTGGAGTGATACCAACAACCTAGTTCTTGAATGGCTTTTCTTAGCTCTGGAACCCCAATCTGTATGTTTGGCATTATAGTCATATGCTATTAGATATCTGTGTCCATGCTTGTACAGGAGATCTTTAAAAGTACTTTTCTTAATGCTGCAATTTGGTGGACAGTATACAGCACCAACACTAAAGTCCTCTTTAGTTCACTTAATTTTTGTCGAAATAATCTGAATTTCAGCCGTTTCTATCTTGAATTCTTTCTTTTATTAGTATTGCACTACCTCCTTTTGGCTAATTGCTGGGATGTACCGTTTTATAGCAATCATAGCCTTTTATTTTAAGGCCCGTATAATATGTCAAATGAGCCTCCGACAGCAAATAAATATCTATATTTCTCGTTTTGAGAAAAACCTCCAATTCTTGTTTCTTATAAAACAAGAAAACCATTAGCATTCCAAGTTACTATTCGTACCTCATTTACGTACATCTTTTCTTAATTTTTTTGATGTCCCCCTATACACCTCAGTGCATCCATTTTCAATTTTTAATAATCTTCTAGAGATCTCGTCAATTCTAATCAACAAACGATGCATCATTTGCATAATGTCTGCGTCAGTTCTTTTTATTTATGGGGTTTTGTTTTCTGGTTCCTTCTTTTTCTTGTTTTGAGGGGTTTTGCTTTGAAGCGCTTGTGAATACGATACTCCCTTTAACATCTTGCTAGGTATCTAGGCTCTTTGGTAAAACTTTTATGTGTGTCCAAATATCTGGCACCTCTTGCATTACAGAATGGATTTGTTGCTTCCAAGAGCTTCAATTTTTACTCTCATGTGCTGTAAGTATTCTATTTTATAGATCTTGGTTATCACTTCCGAATAGTCAAAAGATAATATAGAGAGTGGAAGTTTTACTATAATATACGTTCCATTTTCTTTTTTCCTTTTGATTTTATTTACAATATCTAGACATTTAAAGCATTTGTTGATGAGCTCTTTTTTTATATCCTCTGGCTCACACGATGGATGGAGATTTTTAGCTATAATTTTAACTGACCTCTTCAGTTTATTCTCATACATGTGCCATTCCAGTTTAGCCTTCTTTATAGCTTTTGTTAGTAATCTCTATTCATTTTCATTTTCAACATTTATTTTTAATAGGTCACTATTCATCATATTGACCCTAACGTTTGTTCTTTCTTCTTTTAATATCTTAACTATGTGGGAGTAATCTTTAATGTTGCTCTATATAACCGGAGGAAGCTTGTGCGTTTTTGAATTTTCAACTTTCATTTTAGGGTTGGTTTCATTTTTTTTTTAACTGTCCTCTCTGAATTTATTTCAGGAAACTTTTCCATTTTCCTCTTCTTTGCATTATTTTGTTTTAGGATCCAGTTAGTTTCACTAGGCAGTTCTTCCTCGTCGGTTTCATACACAATAATTTCCGCATCTTTGTTTTTCTTTTCTGTTGATGCAGATTTTATTTGACTTTTTAAATCTACATTCTCTGCCTGCAATTTGTAGATCTCGTTTTGTAGCACCGTGACTATCCAATTTACTCTCCCCTAGATGCCTTTTCATATTACCCTCTTGGATTTTAATTTTTTTGTTTTCTGTAAACTTATTACATATTTTCTTAGAGTTATCATCCTTAACTCTGGCATTTTTCTCTGCAATCACCAATGGGGGTGATCCCCGATCTCCTCCTAAATGGGTCTATTAACGCCGATCTACTATGCAATAAGTGGTCTTCCCCAGGAATCCATTAGACCATCCTCCGACGAGTGTGGATTTCCAGCCATTACTGGATTACCACCTAGGGTATTCAATCCTTGTGTTTTGTTCATTACATTTGTTTGTTTTATTTCGGAGTTTTCTTCTCCTAGTCTTTGAGAATAGTCCCCCCTTGTGCAAGGCAGCACATATAATTTCAGTCGTCCCTTAGGGATCACTCGCAAACCAGAGAGCCGCTCATTGTGAGGCCGTCGCGTCTGGATTTCTCTTTGGTTTTTAGTGCACTCTTCCAACAGCATAGCTTGCTGCGGATATTTCCCAATCCGCCGGGATCTAAGTGTAATAAAGTAAAATTATAAACATTATAATGATAAACATTACCCGTTCGCAGCTTACATTTGCGTTTCTTAGTACTTTCTGCACACATCATAGAATCTGTATCGCAATAAAGAAGATATTTTCCAATTTTACTCATTTCTTTGTACAACGAAATGTCTGGCATGTGCTGTCATAAATGCTCTAACTAATCCAAATTTTATATTCACTTGCAACAAATATATCTGATATTGATATATTAAATTATCTATATTATATTTTACAAGATTTTTCCAGTTCATGAACAGGTATACATATAATCTAACAAATAACAAAAACAAAAAAATGAAAATAGCAAAAGAGAATACTGGGTAGATACATTACTCAATTGATTATACATACTGTAAGACAAAAACAAAAAATTAAAAGCGAAAAGCGAAAGAGAATAAAAAAAGAGTAGTAATATTTTTTTTTGTTTTTTTGCTTTACTACCATAAACAAAAATAAAAAGCAAAAGGAAGCGAAATATTTTAAATGAGTTAAGTAAGAGTAAAATAATTTTTTGTTATTGTATTTAGCATGGAATGGAATTAAAAAAAAGTAAAACTAAAAATTGTGAGAGATATAAGAACACGAATAACGTTACGTTACGTACTAAGGCAATTATTCTTCGTGTTCTTGCGAAATTTCAATTGAGTAAGTAGCCAAGCCAGGTCTGTATAAAGAAAAGAGGCATTGATTTTTTATTAATTCACATTCACTTTGGTTTTAAAGTTTAACGTGAAAGGTACTATTTCCAATTGCGGATTCTTTTCTTTTTAAAAAATGGATAACAAACAAAACAAACGTAAAGAATATATGAAAGCATATCGTACAGAAAATTCTAAAAAAATTAAATTCAAATGCAATCTTATTACGCAGCAAATCGTGAAGCAATTCTCGAACGAAAAAGTCAAAATACAGAAGCGCCTTCAACTCGGAATCCTGCATATGTATGCCATAATATGTACAAATTTTTCTAAACTTATTTTAAAATTGATTGCCACAATCCTGTTTTTACAACAGTTAATGCTGCTTATAAGCAAACCACAGGGGCCCCTAGTATTAATATATTGAAGGAATTGAAGTAATTTTAGATTTATCTTACATTGCTCCTACTTTTCCGAAAAATGTTTTTATATTTATATGTAAGTTTCTTAGCTTCAAGTTTAATATCAGTTGAATAATTAGATCCTTCTGCTTTATATTTGATAAAACACTTCATATAATCGATAAAAAGACCTCCTTTTTTTGATATTGAATTAGAAGTATCACAATCGTAATGCCAAATTTCATATATTTCCATAATTTTATAACCGTATTTTAAGCTTAATTTTAAATCTACAAAAGTCTATATTCCAAATAGCATTCATTCTTTACCATCGTGAGTGCATTTATATAAAACATTTTCATTTTCTGCGCGTTGATGACATAAAATTATTAACATTTTATTATTGGTACTGATAAATAAAATTGACAGTCACAAATTTTGTGGTGGTAAAAAAGAGCATTTCATCAAACCAGATCTTTCAAACTGCTTACATTTTTGGTTATTTTAGATTTTTGGGCTACTTATTGGATATAAATAGTATTTATTAAGCAAATTTTTTCATTTTCTTTTATTTTATTTTATTTTATTTATTTTCAATCTACTGGGAAATAACCCTTACAGATTTTGGAATAAAAAATACAAAATCAGCTTAAAACTAAGTAAAGAAAAAATTAAACAAATAAAACAAAATTCATTATATGTATATAGAAAATAATAAAATTAAAGCTTAAGCACTATTGAAAAATTTGGTGACATCTCTTCTAACTTTATCTCTATTAGAATGAAAATCAATTTCAGAGGAACAAATGTTAAATAAACGTTGAAAAGCAACTATAGGCTCGCAAAAACCATAATTAGTTCTATGCGAATCAAGATATAGAAAACGACGATTTCTGACAGCATGTGCTGGGGCGTAAATATTATATAACTTCAAAATTTCTGGGCAATTTATTCTCGCAGATAAAACATCATAAGAAAACATTACAGAAGTAACATTACGTCTACATTCAAGAGTTTGAATATCAATGAGTTTACATTTGGCAATGTATCCAGTGCTATTCAGCTCCCAATTAAATTTACGCAAGCAAAACCGAACCATATTCTTCTGGACAGATTCAATACGCTTTATATGATTTTCGAACGATGGCATCCAAATAAGAGCAGCATATTCGAGGTGAGGACGGACCAACGAGACAAATAAGCTTTTAAATGTATAGGGATCAGAAAAATGTGCAGACTGCCTCTTGATAAAACCCAGCATAGAAAAAGCCTTTGAAATTACATGGTCGATATGAGGATTAAAAGTAAGCCTGTTATCAAGAATTATCCCCAAATCCTTTATTTCATCGACACTATCTAATATAAAATTATTCACCCTATAGCTAAAATTAATGAAATTATTTGTTCTATAGAATCTCATGACCTTACATTTTTCTACATTTAACATGAAACCATTCGAAGAACACCAGTTATAAAATTTGTGAATATTTAACTGGAGTCGATGACAATCCTCCACTGATCTAATAATAGAAAACAATTTTGTATCATCAGCGAATGATAAAATAGAACAGTCAATATGACAAGCACAATCATTTGTGAATAAAAGAAAGAGCAGAGGACCCAAATGCGTTCCTTGACGAAATCCAGAGGTAGCTAGAAATGAATAAGATTCACAACTGGAGATTTTAACAGAAATTTTGCGCTCTAATAAATAAGAACGTATCCACTTCAAAGTTGTACCATGAAAACCTAGTGCTTGCAGCTTAGAAAGAAGTTTAAAATGATCTACTTTATCAAAAGCCTTAGATATATCAGTGAAAATAGCGTCCACCTGGAAAGCACGTTCCACTGCATTGTAGACTGAGTTCAAAAAAATTGATAAATTAGAACTGGTTGATCTACCTTTGACAAAACCATGTTGATTTGGTGAAATAAATTCCTTGGCTAAAAAATAAATTTATTTGATTATAGCCTCAAATATCTTTGGAATAGCGGATAACTTAGCTATAGGTCTGTAATTTCTAATATCTAATTTTGAACCGTTCTTAAAAATAGGAAAAATATTAGAAAATTTCCACTGATCAAGAAAAACACCTTCTTTCAAAGACCTATTAAAAATTATTAATAAAGGTTCAGATATACTGGATATACAATTTTTTAGTACAGAATTTGGAATCCCATCTGGACCTGTGCTTATGTTATGATCAGATTGGGAAATCTTATCATAAACGTCACCGTAAGTCAATTGCAAATATCCTAAATCTAGAACCTGATGAACATCGCCATTATAATCCAGTGACTGAGAAATATTAGATTTTTCATAAACAGATTCAAAGTATTTAGCGAACAAATTACATGTTGATTGAATATCAGAAGCTATAGATTCATTATAAAAAATGCCAGTAGGAAAACCAGAAGATCTTTTATGCGCATTGATATATGTCCAAAAAAATCTAGGGTTAGACTTCATATTCGATTCACAAGCCAAAATATAGTTTTTATATAAAAATTTACTTAAAAAATCGAATTCCCTTCGCAACCTCTGAAAGACTATTTTACCTGCTGAAAGCGAGCTGCGCTTAAATTTTCTATAAGCATTATTCTTCGCATTTTTCAAAGAAAGAAGCCTCTTATTATACCAAGGTGGATGCCGAGACTTATTACACTTTTCTTTGGAATATATTTAGAAATACCTAATATTAAAATTTTTAAAAATTCATTATAAGATTTACTTAAACAAAGCTTGTCATTTAAAATTTCATGCCAGTCAAATAGAGACAAGTAACTATTTAACGAAGAAAAATCACCAAATTCAAAATTGAATTGTGGAATATTTACAATTTCAACAGGTAAATCATTAACAAATTTAAGCTTAATTAATAATGGTGGGTGATATAAATCTTTTTTTACAATAGGAATTTCAAATTCATTAATCATAAAACTAATATCATTAGAGATAAAAGCTAAATCTAATAATTTATTTAAAATATTAAAAATATTATTGATTTGAGCTAAGTCAAGTGAAAATAATGAATCTACAACATACGAATCACAATAATTAGCTTTAAGTGGCATTAAAATTTTGTTTACATTATTATCAATATATTGCCACGATATTGAAGGTAGATTAAAATCACCCAATATACAAAAATAATTATTTATATCACAATTTAAATCAAAAATATGTTGAATATTTTGAATGTGTAATTTATAAAGTTCAAATTCACTATTTGGGGGAATATTACTTAAAATTACAAATAAATTCCTTGTATTAGAAATATTATTGCAAAAAATATTAGACTTATTAAAAGTAATTCTTACACATAATTGTTCGATTGAATTATCATGATTTAAAAGAGTAATAGGCTGACTGTAGTAAGATGAATTCACAGCTAGTAATACTCCACCACCAAGTCGCCGTCTGTAGCTAATGAATCTCTGTCTTTTCGATAAACACAATAAATAGACTCATCGAATAACTCAGAAGAAAAAATTCCATTGTGTAGCCATGTTTCAGAACAAGCAATGACAGAAAAGAAATTATCATATGCAGTTCTGTAGAATTCATTAGTTTTAGTACGTAGGCCTCTTGTATTTTGATAATATAAATTAAAGTAATTGTCATCAGAGAAAGTAGAATTTGCCGTATTGAATGAGTTTTCAGATGAGAGAGATGAATTAACATTACCACTAGTATTATTGTGTGCGTGAGAATATAACGGTGATGATGAATTTGATGAGAGAGATGTAGTAAGCGACAAAGAATTGTATGCTACATTAGAAATTTTATTTAATGTGGCACATGTTAACTTATTTGTTTTTGCTGAACTGATGATGAGTTTTTTTGAAATATAAAATGTTTTGTTTCAATTCCTGATGGCCAAAATTCAGTAGCCTTGATAATATTGTAAAATTCCTCAGGTACACTTATTTTAAATGAAATAGCATTCAGCTAACTAATGTCAGCATCCTTTTTTACTAATTTAAAACACTTGATGACTGATTGGTCAATCTTGAGCTTAGAGGATACATAATTTATCACATTCTGAGATGTTGTATTTTTGTCGAGACGAGAAACATGTAGCCATTTTTTGGCGCTGTACAACAACCAAATTACAGGCGTTGTCATCCACAGTAGCACTTTCAGACTCATGATCATTAAGTGAAGAAACAGCAATATGTTTAGGATTACACTGTTCACTTACATTATTAGCATTTATATCCGTAGATACTGAACTTAGTTCCACTTTATCTAGAGAAATGCTAGATGGCATTTTTTTTTTTGTTTTTCCTTTGTTCACTCCTAGAAGGAGCATAGGGCTAGTGCATGATTTCTCATGTACTAGTTTCATAGCGTCATAGGGTTTAACTAGGTAGGTTAGTAGCCTGCCGTAGTTTTTATTTATATTAATTATTTGAGGTTATTAATATTTACTGTTTATTTTTCTTAGTTTTTTTTTTTTAATATCGAATATTAGGAATATTTGAAAATTACTTGTATAATATTTTTATTAGTATTGTATATTAAGTTATAATAATATTGAATATAATTTTTATAGTGACCTGACCGGGGATTGAACCCGAGACCCTTCGGTTAAAGGACCGGTGCCATAACCACTGCACCAATGGTCAGATGCTAGATGGCATAGTGTTGATTGAAACAGGATCCTTGGAAACAGGCTTAGACAATTTCAAAATGGAATTTTTGATGGATGACAATTCATTAGATAAATTATCCAACTTAACCAAAATATCACGAAAAGAGAAGAAATATTGCAATTTTCCTTATTTATAAGTCTTAAAACACTATTAGTAATATTAGAGCATTTTAAGCAATAAATCGATTCACAAAGTGAACTGCACTTTACATTTAAATTATTGTTGATCACAGTGCCACATTTTGAACAATTTACCGTCATATTAGAAAAATAAAAAGAAAATAAAAACAAAGCCAAAAATTAGATGTTAACGCTACGAGGTGTAGCGAGAAACTGAATTACAATACAAAGTAAATACTTCGTTTCCGAAAATTGTATCTGATACAATAATTGTATTTTATAAAAGCAAAGGACCGTTTCTTAAATATTTTTTAATTTTTATATATTTTTTTAACTTTATTGCAGTGACTATTTCTAATAAGTCCGTAACCATGAAATTCGCATTCGATTGTTAAACAACTTGGTATTTTCCAAATTTGAAATACATATCTTTATACCAATTAAATTTTGCTTTTCCAATACTTCCGTTATATTTTGAACCAACTGTTTAAAGCTCTTATTCAAACGACCAAATACCAATCCACTTTTTTCATCAAAATCTTCAAGTTTAAAACTGTTTCGCTAGTTAGAAATCTGTTATAAGTCCAGTTGTTAGGCACAGCCATTTTAGTATTGTCATTTTTCGTTATTTAAATTTTAACCTAAGAGACTGGGAATTCTTTTTTTTGGAAAGAAGTCCGAAAAATATTTATTGTACAGAAATTATTAAATTAAAGTTAATGAAATGCAAAATTATAGTTTTATTTGAATACTAGCCGTGTGTGCTTGCATAAGCCTTGCAAGTATTATGTCTGTAGTTTTAAAATTGTGTTCCATTCTGTGTCTGAGATATTTTACGATTACTTTCTTTCTTCAAAAACACACCCGTAATATACATATAGATATGTTTTTTTCCTAATATTTTTTAAGATAAAACTTAAAATAAGAAATGCTTTTAAAAATACGAAAAAATACATAATTAAACAAAAAATTAGTTCTTTTAAGATTTAATATCTTTTTATACCCTGCACTTCGTGAAGGGTATATTAACTTTGGTATGGAGTTTGTAACTACTTGAAGGAGTCATCTGCGGTATGGACATATTCTTGTTCAGCGTAAAATTCTGCGTTGTTTTAGACATGTCCGTCCGTCCGTCCGTCCGTCCGAACGCACGATAACTCAAAAACGAATAATGCAATCGACACCAAACTTTCACAAGTTGCTTCTTTTGTGTCAAGGACGAACCCTGTTGTTATTGAACCAATTCGTACAACGGGGTCGGGTAGCTGCCATACAACTCAAAGAGTTTATTTTAATTATTTCAAAAACTGATAAAGGTACAAATACAAAATTTTGTATACATGTGTCAAATTATATTCTACATATGCTCTAAAAATTTTAATGTGGTAGCTACACCGGTTCGGGTGGCTGCCATACAACTCCAAAAGCAAATTTTTTATATTCGGCAAAATAATAAAGTCAGATTCATGAAACTTGGCAGTTGTGTGTCCAATTATAGGTCAAAGATATTTCTGAAGTGGTGGAATTGCCTGACAGGTTCGAGTGGCTCCCATACAAGTCCAAAAGCTTATTTTAAATATTTGGAAAAGTAATAAAGTTAGATTCAAGAAACTTGGTAGTTGTGTGTCCAATTATAGATCAGATATTTTTTAAAATGAAATTAAAAAAGATTAACCCTTACAACTAAATATCAGCGAGTTCGCGTTCTAAATATTTTTTTTGAAAATCCCTTTTTGTAAAAAGTTTAATGCAATAAAATTACTTTTTCTTATAAAATTTTGTCCTGAAAATACGAGTATATTGTCAAGAAATTTAATGTACGCTTATGTTTTGCTTACTAATACATTTTGCAACAGATCGCGAAAAGAATACATAACTAAATGTGTACGTACATACTTATTATAAAACAATGTAGAATTATACGAAATATGAATAAAATGTAGAGTTATAAAGGGAAATTCAAGGTATTGCTTAGCCTGGTTGGTAGCATGGTAGTCTCATAACCAGAAGGTTATTGGATCGATGCTTACCTGGATGTTGTCGTATTTTTCTGTTTTTGGATTATTTAAAAAAAAAAAAATTTTTTTCATTTTGTTTAAATTTTTTTTAATATATAACAAATAAATGTTATCATAAAAGTTTAAAGAAAATTTCCAAAAAAGATATTGTTATTATAGTTTGGAAAAATTCGCAAGAATTTTAAGTACATAAATATGTGCGTATATTTTTTTTAAAGCTTCCTAACTAATTTTTTTAAACTTTCTATATGAATTGAATAATATTCAAAACTGCTTTTTGGCATATAGAAACACATAATTATTAAATAATTGCGGTAACATACAGAAATAAATTTTTCAAATAAATAAAAGGTTTAGGCATAAATAAAATAATATTTTTATTCAAATATAATGCATGTACATGAATGTATTAGAATTGAACATTTTAAAATTTTTGGTTCAAAAAATTAGAAATAAAATTTTAAGCACAAACATACATAATTATGAATGTATACCTATTTTTTTAAAACAGCGGGTGAACATATAGAATTAAATTTTTCAAATAAAGAAAAGCCTTAATCAAAAATAAAATAATAATTGTATTCAAATATTATATGTATGTACATATGAATGTAATTTTTCAAATAAAGAAAAGGTTTAGGCAAAAACAAAATAATAATTTTTTTTCAAATATATGTATATATGTACATATGGATGTATTATAATTTATCATTTTGCAGTTTTTCGCTTGGAACAATAAAAATAAAATTTTGAGTACATACGGACATATATTCTGTATGTATATTTTTTAAAGCTTGCTGACGAAACATGATCTTCAAAGCAATAACAAATGAAGCATTAATATTCAAATGCCACAAAATATCCGATGTCTTTGACAAAAGCTGACATTTATCTACGTTAAAATTATTTTGATTTTTCAAACCAAAAATATGTGGGGTCATTATATTTTCAAATATTATTTATTTCTCGGTTTGTGTTTCTAATAATAACGTAAAACGTATTATTTATTTTGTGGTTTGTGTTTTTAATTATAAAAAGTATAAAAGAAAAACGTGCTTTTGTTACACAAACATTTTTTTAAAAAATCTTAAAACAGAGCTATTTCGAGGCTAAAAAGTTCCAATGTCAGATTTTTCTGGGACCCGAGAGGCAAAACTCTACCTAATGCCTTTTATCCCATGTCTCTAGCCCTTCTAGAAGTACCCGTACTTTTTACCACCTGAGAAGTAGCTATATATATATAATGTAAAATAGGATGGTTTTTGAAGAGTTATACGAAATATGAATAAAATATAGAATTATAAAGGAAAATTCTAGGTACTGCGTAGCCTAGTGGTTAGCGTGGTAGTCTCATAGTTAGAAGGTTATTGGATCAATGCTTGCCTGGATGTTGTCGTGTTTTTATTTTTTGGATTATTTTAAAAATTTTTTTTTTATTTTATTTAAATTTTGTGTTTTATTTTTTTTTAATATATAACAGATAAATGTTATTATAAAAGTTTAAAGAAAATTTCCAAAAAAATATTCTTATAATAGTTTGGAAAAATTCGCAAAAATTTTAAGTACATAAATATGTATGTATGTATATTTTTTTTTAAAGCTTCCTGAATAATTTTTTTTAAGCTTTCTATATGAATTTAATAATATTCAAAACTGTAGAATATATAGAAATAAATTTTAAACGCATAATTATTAAATCATGGGAGTAAACATACAAAAATTAATTTTTCAAATAAAGAAAAGGTTTAGTCAAAAACAAAATAATAATTTATGTATGTAAAAATATATGTATGTATGAATAAATGAATATATGTGTGTATGTATATGTGAATGGATTAGAATTGAAGATTTTAAAATTTTTCGTTCCAACATATGAACGTATGTACATATGAATGTATTAGAATCGAAAATTAAAAAAGAAACAAAAACAAAATAATAATTTATGTTTGTAAAAATATATGTATGTATGTATATATGAATACACGTGTGTATGTATATATGAATGGATTAGAATTGAAGATTTTAAAATTTTTCGTTCCACCATATGAACGTATGTACATATGAATGTATTAGAATCGAAAATTAAAAAAGAAACAAAAACAAAATAATAATTTATGTTTGTAAAAATATATGTATGTATGTATATATGAATACATGTGTGTATGTATGTATATATGAATGGATTAGAATTGAAGATTTTAAAATTTTTCGTTCCAACATATGAACGTATGTACATATGAATGTATTAGAATCGAAAATTTTGAAATTTTGCTGTTGGAAAAATTAGAAATAAAATTATTAACACAAACACACGTTATTATGAATGTATACCTAGTTAGCACTTTTCCAAAAAAATTTTGAAAAAAAGTGCTTATTAGTTTCACTCTGTCCGTCCGTCCGTCCGTCCGACCGTCCGTCCGTCCGTCCGTCCGTCCGTCCGTCCGTCTGTCCGTGTGTCTGTTTACAAAACTTCTACAC